GATGCTTCATGAATGAGATAGCAGTAGTGTTGGAAAGTGGAAAATCAAGGAGAAATTTTTCTTTAATATATTTTTAATGATTTCAGAGAGGAAGGGCGAGGGAGAGGAAAAAAAAACATCAATGAGGAGAGAGAATTATTGCTTGGCTGCCTTCTGAATGCCCTACACTAGGGATTGAGCCCACAACCTGGGCTTGTGCCCTTGGCCAGAATAGAACCCGGGGCCCTTTAGTCCACAGACTGATGCTCTACCCACTGAGCAAAACTGGCTAGGGCTTGAGAAACTTTAGGGAGGAGGACACCTAGTAGAGAATATAAACAGACTGAAGTGGTTAATCCTTAGACCCTAGGGTCAAGGAGGGCTGCATTTGAGAGCCTAGGGTTTGTTTGTACAAGGCCTTAGAGTTAAGGGTAAGAAGTTTAGGACAATTACTCTGGCAAATGTGAGCATACTGATCCAAAGGGTAGGCCAGTGTTGGGAAGCTTTAGTAGGAGACTAGTGTAGGAGAATAGATGTGAGGTGATTATTGCCTGAGCGAGTTGAATGTAGTGGAAAGTGATAGATTCAACAGGCACTGTGAAGGGAAAATCCATGGGGTTAGAGAGAAGAGGGGCAATGAGAGGGTTTTGGACAATGTCTGGAATCATTGACAGAACTTAGGAAAGGAAGATATTAAGAACACACAGTTGAGATACTGAACTTAAGAATTCTGGGGCAGCAAATGAAATGTCCAAGCAACTGGAAGCTTGTGAACAGGGTCTAGGAAAGAACTGAGAACTTAAGAGCACAATTAGAACAGTGAGAGTTGGTGAGATCTCTGACAGAGAGAAAAGGAAAGCAATACCGTCTGTGCTTCTGGAGTGTCCAAATGAGAGGGCGGACAAGGAAGAGAATGGGGGGCCAGAGATCTAAGGGAGAAATCAGGTGAGGCTGGTTCTAGGGAAGCCATGTGGAGAGGAAGTCGTCAGAAGTATAGCTTCCTGCCGAGACCAGTTTGGCTCAGTGGATAGAGCATCGGCCTGCGGATTGAAAGGTCCCAGGTTTGATTCTGGTCAAGGGCATGTACCTGGTTGCAGGCACATCCCCAGTAGGGGGTGTGCAAGAGGCAGCTGATGGATGATTCTCTCTCATCGATGTTTCTGACTCTCTCTCTTCCTCTCTGTAAAAAATCAATAAAATATATTAAAAAAAAAAAAAAAAAAGTATAGCTTCCTTATGAGAGGTTGAAGAGAACGAGGACTGGCAGATCAGTTTTCAGTTTGACCAGGGTCCTGCTACTTCACTCTCCTTGGAGAATTCACAGCACACTTAGGATACTGGGTGGACAAGGGGTGAAAAACTGTGTGGAGTTGCCTGGGTCTTCTTGAATCCCACTCAGTGGGATACTGACCTTATTAAAGCCAAGGGCAGGGCTTGTCCACTCATAATTTCTTTCCTCCTCCAGCTCATTGTGCTTCCCCAGTGTCTTCCCTTCCCCAAGTGAGGAACATAGGAGACCAAGCAGCAGAAACTGTGCTTCAGATGGTCAGGCCCCAGGTGAGCTTGGTTCTGTCTGTCTTTTATGAGTTCCTGAGTCTGAGGCCCAGAATACCGGTAGCTAGAGCAGTGGTTCCCAACATGGGACACAGGGGTCAATTTAATTTTTAAGGGGGGACAATTTGAGAATGAGTTATTAACAGTGATTTTTTTTGCATTTCTTATGGCCCTACAGACTTTAGAGTATATAAATATGTGTTGTGACATATTTATGCATTGCAGTTCTCTCATATATGTTTTATGAAACTTTGCTTTTGTTAAATCCTCACTTGAAGATATTTTCCATTGATTTTAGAGATATTGGAAGAGAGAGGGACAGAGAAATATCAATGTGAGAGAAACACATTGATTAGTTGCTACCTGCATGAGCCCCGACTAGGGCCCAGACTAGGGAGGCACCTGCAACTGAGGCGCATACCCTTGACCAGAATTGAACCTGGGACCCTACAGTCTGCTCTATCCACTGAGCCAAACTGGCTGATTGCTATTTTTTCATATCACTTTATATTATTACTTTTTAACAATTTCTTAGTGATTTCTTTTTCAGTACTTCAGCTATTCTTTTCTTTGATTTTTCTCTTTCATGGATGCCTTGTTCTTTGGAAGCTTGTTTAGACCAAGTTAATGGCTTTTTTAGGCTTTCTCGACGTGAATAAGAGTTCATTTTTAAAAAAATAAGAATTATATGTCACATGATGGGCATTAGGATTTTAGAGATGCTTAAGTGGGTCATGACCAAAGAAGGGTTGGGAACCACTGAGCTAGAGCTTATCTCAGAGGCACTGGATCATTCTGAAACTGCTCCTCTGGCTTCCAACCTTCTTGCTTCCCTTGGAGCGTGGTGCCACTTCCTGAGTTCATGGACTCTCTCTGGCCCTGAACCTGTCCTTTTAGATGTGTCATCCCAGCTTCTTCCTCCTTCACCTCTTTGCCCACCGGGGCTTTTACCGTGTGCTCTTGGTATCTCTGATGACTCCACCCTTCAGGGTGGGAATATCTCTTGAGCAATAGAAACTTGTCATTGTAGGGGTCTGCAGTGTACAAGTTCCTGTCTGTGGACTACACTGAACAGAAGTTGGAAGACCCGTCACTGAGTCAGAGAGCCACGAACCAGAACATCATGCTGGAAACGGACTGCAGCATGGCCTCACTGGGTAATGACTTTGTGTCCCTGGAACTTAGCATCTGCTTCCTTCACATTTTCTTCGCTCAATTTTTTCTTTTTAAACTCTATTATGAAAAATTACAACAGACAAAACAGAACACTACAATGAACCTCTCTGAGTGCATCACCCAGCATGAACAGTTTTCAACATTCTCTTTACCTAATAATGGATTGAGCTAGGGTGATGTAGTTAGAGTTTGTATTTATAAGGATTAGAGAGCATTCAAGTTATTGTATGTGATGAGTTATGTTACTTACAATAAGGCTAAAGGGATAGGAAATCTGTACAAACTGACCAGCTAGACCAAACTTTGGAAAGCAGGACCTCATTGAGAATGAGGAGCCTAGGAGCCTGAGCAACAAAAGGAAATGAGTTTTTACACTGTGTTGAATTAGGGGCATAACACAGCTGGCTCCCTACATATCTCCTCCATCTAATATCCATTGTTTTCATTGAATCTTTTCTCCCCTCATGGCTCCTTCTCAATTAGACTGTTCCCAGTTGCTTTCTGGTTGCTGTGGCTCCTAATGGCTTGCCTTTTCCCAATGTATCATTTCAGCTTTGGTCTCTGATCTTTCACTTTTCCTCCTTATTTAATGTGTTGGCTCAGTATCTCTCTGTCCTGATAGATTTTTATCCATCTTCCTGCACTGACTTTTCCCCTTTTGTCCATGAAGAAAAATTTGAGCTATTTCTGATTTTTTTCTCTTGTTCTCAATTTGTTACTTTATTCCTTATGTGAAGGCTTTTTCAGGTAAATAGACTCCTGATGATACTTTTTCCTCAATAGCATAAGAAATGCTTTTTTCTTATTTCTTTCTAAATCAGGTAAGACTCAGATGGAAAATTCAGAGTTGCCTCCAAAGCAGGAAATTTCCAAAGGAACAGAGTCACCCGATGGGACATCAGGAGGCCTGAATGGGATGGCTCCTGGGGGACCAGAAGCTGGAAATGCCTGTGAAGAAATTTTAATAAAGCTAGAAGCACAACCCTCAGAGGAGGAAGGGAGCAGACTAGAAAGTGGTTTACTGGAAAGAACATGTGAGGATGAAAACAAATCTACAGAAGATGGATGTGATGACTATAAGGATCTTGGGGAACACAAGAATCTGTCTTGTAGTCCTACAGAATTTCAAGTTTTGAAGGCACAAAAATTCTATCAATGTGATGAATGTGGCAGAACTTTCAATAGAAGTACACACCTCACTAACCATCAGAGAATCCACACTGGAGAAAAGCCCTTTGTATGTAATGAGTGTGGCAAGGCCTTTAGGCAGACGTCTCAGCTCATGGCTCATCTCAGAACCCACACAGGGGAAAAGCCCTATGAATGCAGCAAGTGTGAAAAGACCTATCGACACATGTCCAATCTCATTCAACACCAGAGATTCCATAATGGAGAGAAACCGTATAAATGTAATGAATGTGGGAAAGCTTACAGTGTGAGTTACAAACTCTATGACCACCTAAGAACCCATACGGGGGAGAAGCCTTATGAATGCATTAAGTGTGGAGCGGCCTTTTCTCGGAATACATATCTTCTCCGACACCAAGCACTTCACACTGGTAAGAAACCTTACAATTGCAACGAGTGTGGGAAAGGTTTATCTTCTAAAAGAGATCTTATTGACCATCAGAGAATTCACACTGGAGAAAAGCCTTTTGAGTGCAATGAGTGTGGCAAGGCCTTTCGTCAGAATAGTAACCTTATTCGACATCAGAGACTTCACACAGGTGAAAAGCCCTATAAATGCAATGAGTGTGGCAGATCCTTCGGTCGAAAGTCACACCTCATTGCACATCAGAGAATTCACACCGGGGAGAAGCCCTATGAATGTATTGAGTGTGGAAAAGCCTTCAGTCAGCTCTCTACTCTTAATCACCACTATCGAACTCACACTCGAGAGAAGCTCTGAGGTTTGGCCTCATCAGGTTCTTAGGTGTAAGTTTCTAAAAGACAGAGCAAGGAACTTTGAATTAAGCTTTCTTTATAAGAAGGATGTTTACCCTGATTCCCTCTTGGAACCATTCATCAAAGTGAGCTATTCCCTAAACGCTGTCTGTTGGGTTGTGAATGTGGAGAGTGGGAGGAACAATGCAGTCCTCCACTATTGGAAAGTGTGGCTACACCTTCCTTTTACTTGCTGGGTTTTCCTCCCTCCCTCCCTTCTTCCCTCCTTCCTTCCTTCCTTCCTTGTTTCCCTCTCTTCTTTTTTCCTTCCTTCCTCTCTTTCTTCTCTTTCTCTTTCTTTCAACTGTTTAGAAATGTATCTCATTTCTTCAGTATGCACCCCATGATCATATCATGCTTTTCAAGAACAGAGATTATATCTTTCTTATTCTATTCCACCTCTCCTATTTTTTTTTTGTTTTGTTTTTTCCCCCCAAAATATATTTTATTGATTTTTTTACAGAGAGGAAGGGAGAGAAATAGAAAGTTAGAAACATCTATCAGCCATCTCCTGTACACCCGCCACTGGGGATGTCCCCGCAACCAAGGTACATGCCCTTGACCAGAATCGAACCTGGGACCTTTCAGTCCGCAGGCTGACGCTCTATCCATTGAGCCAAACCAGCTTCGGCCCAACTCTCCTATTTTATAAAGTTACTCTCCAAGACACTGATTCATTCTTTTTTTTTTAATGAAATATATTTTATTGATTTTTTACAGAGAAGAAGGGAGAGGGATAGAGATCTAGAAACATCGATGAGAGAGAAACATCCACCAGCTGCCTCTTGCACACCCCCTACTGGGGATGTGCCCGAAACCAAGGTACATGTCCTTGACCGGAATCGAACACGGGGCCTTTCAATCTGAAGGTCGACACATGATTCATTCTTTACTTTCTCTTGCCTATATACCTCCTTACCTGCTTATTTTGTTGTGTTAATCCTCATCAGGGGAAATTTTTCTGTTGACTTATTTAAGAGGAAGGGAGCAAACAAGTGAGAAACATGAATGATGAGAGAATCGTGGATTGGCTGCCTCTGTACATCTCCCACTGGGGATCGAGCCCACAACTCGGGCATGTGTCCTGACTGGAACTGAACCTGGAACCCTTCAGTCTGCAGGTTGATGCTCTATTCACTGAGCCAAACTGGCCAGGGCCTTACCTTTTTTTTGTTTACTTTTTAAACTTCTCCAGTCTAGATCCCGTCACTAGTATTCCCTTCTCAGAAAACCTTTTCTTTTTCCTATTTGCTGATCTATGTTCCTCATAATCTTCCAGATCAATCTCCTTTCTAGATCCCTTCAGATCCAGCTCATCTGTGAAAGACTTCTGCGGACGCTTCATTCCTTTTACTCATTTGACCTCAGTACTTTAAATTAGTTGCTGCTTTAATGTGCAACTGTTGTTAATTTGCCTTTTAAATTATTCTCAACTTAATCCTTACGGGTATACATTCATGTCAATTTATTGTAGGTTCTTTGAGGTTGGGTATGGCAAATATTTCTTTTAGCATATAGAAAATAATTTTCATATACGAGTTAACAAATAATATTTAAAAAACTTACTCTCCAATTGAACCATCTTTAAATTGGGCACAATCTACCTACCCCTCTCCACCACCAGACTAGAAGCTTTTCGAGATGGAGGTGGCATCTCATCATAGACTATCACATACAAAGACCTCATATCCTCTTGTACCCCTGGAAATCTTACTGTTACTTCATTGTTAGTTTCTGATATATATTCTGTAGTGTATATGAAGTTTCCTTCCATTCCTGTCTTTAGAAGAAGCAATGTAGAATTGTAGTTAAGGACTCATATTTTGTGCCTTGAACTTGAAGTTCAATCATGAAACCACTTTCGTTGGAGTGTGATCCTGAGCAAGTCACTTGGTTTCCTTGTATCTCAGTTCTTCCATGTATAAATGAAGCAACCTCACAGTGATGTTAGGATAAAATTAGTTCATAAGTGTAAGGCACTTAACAGTGCTTGGCACATAATACACACTATAGTAATTACTGTATTATTTTTTTTATTAGAATGGCTGCTAAGTTCTATCACGTTTTAAAAGAAATCTATTCGTGTAACTTGATGGGTCATATCATTTATTTTTGTAATAATTCTTGACAAGTTTCCAAATAAATGAAGTTTCTTTGCACTTTTGGTATAAAACATTTGTTTGTGGTGATTTTTTAAAAAGTACAGAACTGGATGAAATTTATTAATGTTTCGTTGGCTTTGCAAAGTATTTTGAAAGAGTTTGCATAATGTAGGAATTAACTCTTATTTAAGGGTAAAAATAATGGTGTAATCCATTCTTGGGGAGGAGTGAATTGGGAGGGACAAATTAGCAACATTTTGATTTCTTCAGTGATTGCGCTGTTTAGATTTCTACCTCTTTGTTAATTTTTGGTAAGATATATCAGGTTGTCAAATGATGGCATGAAGTTTGACCTAGTATTCTATAAATTGTAAAGCAATATACATTGCAGTAGTATGTCCCATGCACTTTTACACTTTTTTTTTAAAATCCTCACCCAAGGATTTCTTCCCATTGATTTTTAGGGAGAGTAGAAGAGAGAGGGAAAGACAGAGAAACATCGATGTGAGAGAAACACAATTGGTTGCCTTCTGCAGGAGTCTAACCAAGGTTCGTTTCCTTGATTGGAAGCGAACTCAGGTCCTCAAGCCCACACTCTATCCACCAAGTCAAACCTGCTAGGGGTCTTTTACCCTTTTGAAGTTTCCTCTCATTGTTTCTTATACTTTGAGAGAGACAGCCTCGAACAGATGGAGTTCCCCAAGAGAAGTGTGCTACATCCAAAAGCCGGTATGGTCAGAAATGTGTGCCCTCCCCTCCTTCCGCTCATGTGTCACCGTTCCACTGCCATCTCCCTCTTCCTCCCCTTACTTGCTACCAAGTTCTATGTCTTCATTGATTATTGTCTCCCCTGACTTGCAGGTAAGCTCCATGGAGCAGCGAGTTCATTTCCTTCTCTCCTGTACTGGATCCGCAGAACCTGGAACACTGACATAGTAGGCCCCCCAAAGTAATTTTTATATGCTGCTGACAAACAGTCTCCTAGCTTTGAGACCCAAAGGCGCGGGATCTGTAGAAAGAAAGATGACTTTCCGGCTTGGCAGCCAGAGCAGAGCTGCAGGGACTGCAGGGAGCCTCAGTTCCAGGCGCGCCCCCTGGCCGCCCAGTAGCTTGGCTCCTCCCCGCTCCCTGCCCAAATCTCTTTCTCAGGCTCCACCCCTCCCAGGGTCCTCCTCCCATTGGCTGAGCCCTCCAAGTCCTTTCGTCCTCCCAGCCAATAGGAGGGCAAAGCTCGGATGGGAGGCGGGGCCAGAGCGCTGGCTCACGGACTGCCTGGCGAAGGGACAAAGGACTCCAGCCTCCCAGAGGGTTGGGGTGCGAGTTAGTGGGGTGTCGATGACGTAATTCTTTCTGCGCTTTATTCCACGACGTGAGCTTTCGGCGAGGGGTATGTGGCAGCCTGGCGTGGGGGTCCGGGGGGGGGGGGCTGGGTTCTGGGAGTGTGTGTTTGCGGGAGACCCCGGCCCGTGGCGGAGACTGGGGTGCAGCAGCTCAAGGGTCGTCGTGAGCCTCCTCCTCCCCTCGTTGGGCACTTTCCCTTTGTTTTGGGTTTCGTCCCAAGCTGGGCGAGGTTGCCCGCTCGGACCTGGCTACAGGTACTGGCAGAACTGTGTCATCCCCCACTCCCATGGCCAGTGGGCCGCCAGGTAACAGCGGTCGAAGCCAGCCCAGGCTCCCAAAGGAGCCAGAACCTTGAGTGTTTGACTTAGGTCTCCCATCCGTCCCCCTGAGTTCCTGTGAGGAAACGGACCCAGAGGGGAAGGCAGAGTCTTGCCCAGGGTTACTACTCATTCACCCATTTAACAAATACTAGCACCTACCCAAGAATGCCAGCTCCTGGGTTTCGGTTGTGTACAAGGCAGAGAGAGCTACATTCTAGTAGGGAAGAAACGGAACAAGCTTGAGGACTTAGAAGCAGAGTCTGGGAATCTGGAGCGGGGGAAAAACACACACGTTGAGGCCTGGTGATCCTAAGAGATGGGTAGTTATTTTAAAAATCTCCCTCTAGCATCCTTTCAAAACCATATTATTGCTTCTGTCTCTAAAGGCATTTGACTCAGCAAAGATCCTCTCTCTTCTCCCTTCTGCAAACTTTTCTTGGAAAGCTGAAGTGCAGAGAACTTCTCAGTGGAAGGCACTTTGCATGGAGAGGAGACTTTTGCATGTAAAAGGAGCAGCTGAAAGGGAGTGACCATGGTGTGATGGACACAGAAGGCTTGTCTCTCACTAGTCATGTGACCATGGACAAATCATTCAACCTCTGGATGCTTCATTTCCTCATCTTTTAAATTAGAGGCCCAGGACATGAAATTCATGCACTTGGGGGGTGGTCTCATCCTGGCCCAGGCCTTCTAGCAGTCTGGGAGCCCTGGGAGGATGTCCGACTGATGGGTTAGTGGGCCTAAGCCATTGTTTGGGCATCCTTAGCATTGCCACCACTGCCGCTCCCCTGTGGGAGCACACTGACCACGAGGGGGCAGCTCCTGCAATGAGTGTCTGCCCCCTGGGGATCATTCCGCCATTCGGTCATTTGCATATTAGCCTTTTATTATGTAGAATAGGAATGATCATCCTTACTGACTACTGCTTCCTAGGAAGGGGAGTACCCAGGGAGGGGACACTGCCCTGAGTGTCCACTTGGAGTACAGCACTCAGAGAACTCAGTCATTTCTATCTGTTTACCGTGATTCAGGACCCCATTAGGAACTTCCTCACCAACCCAAGGAGGAGAACAGGCAATGTCTGTGCTGGGTACACCCCCTGAGTGAAGCCCTTCTCTCTTGGGCAAGTGAGGCCTATACTGTGAAACTAGTTCATCTGGGGACAGGAATCTTGTCTGCTAGAAAATGTGTGGATCAGAGCTGAAAGGGAGCGTATCTGGATGACTAGGAGAGAGAGAGATAGAGAGAGAGAGAGAGGGGAGGGGAGGGGAGGGGAGGGGAGGGAAGGGACAAGTGTGCTTGTATGGGGAAGAGGGCCCTCTGGACCTCGAGTCGTAGAGTTTGGCGATGGGAGTAAGGAGGAAGGGTGATGTAATAGAACTCAAATTTGTCAGGAGACTTGGTCTTGAGTCCCAGCTCCACGCTAAGTTCTAGTTTCCCCAAATCTACATTTTGATAAAAGGCTAAGTGGCCTGTGGGGTTCCTTCCAGCTCTGACATCCTGAGAATCTCTGAGTAGTTGGACTAGGTCAGTGGTCAGCAAACCACGGCTCGTGAGCCACATGCAGCTCTTTGGCCCCTTGAGTGTGGCTCTTCCACAAAATACCACAGCCTGGGTGAGTCTATTTTGAAGAAGTGGCGTTAGAAGAAGTTTAAGTTTAAAAAATTTGGCTCTCAAAAAAATTTTCAATCATTGTACAATTGATATTGGCTCTGTTGGCTAATGAGTTTGCCGACCACTGGACTAGGTCAATCTCTTAGGGAATTTAGTCCCTTCGTTGGCCCTGTTGAGACAGAAGTGCCAAGAATGCAAATACACCGCCATGGTGTTCAAACAATATGGAGCACAAGAGGGATGAACCAGGCAGAGGAGGGGTGGTGAAGGTCATGTGTGGAGGATGTACATCTCACCATTCCTACCTTAGATGGAATTGGACAGAGTCCTGAACTTGTTTAGCTGAATCTTTCAAATCACACAACATTTACCGAGCCCTCCTTATGCCAGGCTCTGGGTGGGAGCCACATGAGAATGTTAGGAGGGACACAGACATACACAAGTAGTGACAGTATTAGACAACTCTAGTTTATATTGGTTTTGTTGCATTTTCTGAAGTACAGAAATTGTTTTATGGTCAGATCTATCAGTTTCCTGGTATGCCATTAGCCTTTGTTTTATGCTTAGGGCTTAGGCCTTTCCCTAAGAGTGAATAGTCCCTGTTACTTATTTTCTTTTCTTTTTTTTTCTTTCTTTCTTCCTTTTAACTTTCACATTTTACTCACCTGGTTCTCTGGAATTTATTTTCAAGTGTTGCCTCTTATTCGTCACTCTATTGCAGTGAATCAGTAACCAAGCACCATGTGACCACTGCTCAGAGGGACCTGAACAGGAAGATTATCCTGGCAAATTGAAGGAATACAACCTCCCTAGGTAAGAGAGTACAACGATCTGTCCACTGAGCTGGGACCCTGCCCATCGTGGGTTCCTTGTAAAAGGTGGTCCTGCTGAAACCGGTTTGGCTTAATGGATAGAGCGTCGGCTTGGGGACTGAAAGCTTCCGGGTTCAATTCCGGTCAAGGGCATGTACCTTGGTTACGGGCATATCCCCAGTAGGGGGTGTGCAAGAGGCAGCTGATCGATGACTCATCGATGTTTCTACTCTCTATCTCTCTCCCTTCCTCTCTGTACAAAATCAATAAAATATATTGTTTTAAAAAGAAAGAAAAGGTGGTCTTGAGATTAGAACTCTCACCCCTCAGTCTCAGGGAGTTGTGGGTCAGAGATTTGTGGGGACTCATTGGTCCTCATCCATTTGCTGGTTATCTTGAGACTGTGCTTGTGTGCACAGCTGCCTGGATACCCTTAATGTTCTGCTGGCCCTCTGGCCTCATCTGCCCCTCCTTCTACTTCTCCAGTCAAGACCACCGCCCTCGTTCCTGGGGATTCCAGGACTCCTAAGGGCATTTCCCATGCAGCGGGTTGAGGACAGATAGGTTTTCTTTTGATATAACTTCCTCAAACTAGTTCTCCCTCATCTCCTGACAAGTCTTGCTTCCTTGATAGATCTAGGTCCCTCCGAACCACCATGGGCTTCAGTACAGCACATTGCATTTTCTCTTTCTTTCTACCTGCCCTTCCAACTAAGATCTCCATCATAGCAAGTTTATACATTTTTGTGACTGTTGTTGTCTGATCATTCTCCAATTTGCATTCCTGACATATTCCTCCTCGTCTCAAAAGGGTTTTCCCACATCCCTGTTTCTCTTAGTGTTGCTACCATTCAGACCTAGATCTGATGACCTTGAACTCTTTCCTTCAGTCATCCTCTAATTCTGTCTGACTTGTGTGTATGCTTTCCTGTAACGGCTGGACTTCATTGTTCTCTGATCCTGTCATTTTCCTAGCCTAGGACCTCACTGTCTCATTTGTGTGTTCATTTCTTCAACAAATATTTACCAGGCACCCAGAAAGTGGCAGGCCCCTAATGGTCCCCCATAGTGCATTCTAAGGTTGCCTCCCAACTCATTTCCTTTCCTCTTTCCTTCTTTTTTTCATCTTTCATCCATCTGGGCTAATCTTCCTAAAGTATTTTTTTTCTAATTTCATTTTTGGGTAGCACGATACAAAATTTATCATACATACTGGGATACTTTTGTGGAGTGGGGAAAGAAAATCAAAGGTAGGCTTCATTCCCTCTGTTCAGAATATGTTTCCTATTGACCATCAAATCATATCCAAAATTTTCCCCTCATAATTTCAGTGTTCTGGCTGGTATCATTTCAGGCAACTTGATTCTTTAATTCCTTCACTTATTCATTCAACTACAACAACAAATTTTCAGTGCTTGCTAGGTGCTAAGAATACATTGGTGAACAAAATGAACAGAAATCGTGCCTTCATGAAGCTTCATGTAATAGTATAATCTCCCATTTATTTCTGACTACACTGTCCCTGTCTAAACATTAAGAAAAGAATTCCTTGTCCTCCGGGACTCAGCCAAAGTTTAGCCTTTTTTTTAAAAATCCTTACCCAAGGATATTTTTCCATTAATTTTTAGAGAGTGTAAGGCTGAGAGAAATATCGGATGTGAGAGAAACACATCAATTGGTTTCTCCTGCATGTGCCCTGATCAGGGCCCAAGCTGGGAAGGAGCCTGCAACCAAGCTACATGTCCTTGACCAGAATCAAACCTGGGACTTTTCAGTCCGCAGGCCAATGCTCTATCCACTGAGCCAAACCTGCTAGGGCCAAAGTTTAGCCTTTGTAAAGCACCTTTTCCCAAGCATTTTAAGCATCCTAGTAATCAGTCCCTCCTCTGGCTCCCTACATCTCCTGATTGGTGACTTTGTAGGTTTATAGTTCGCTCTCTTATTGGTTTGTCATTTACTCTATTATAAGCTCCTTAAATATAGATATAGTTCATACTTTTTTTTTTTTTTATTCTGCTCGGGCTGTCGTTAGAAAATACCACAGCCTGGGTGGTTTAAACACTAGACATTTATTTTCTCACAGTATTGGAGGCTGGAGGTCCAAGATCAAGGTGACCAGCTGATTTGGTTTCTGGTGGGGACACTTCCTGGCTTGCAGATGGCTACCTTCTTGCTGTGTGGTCACATGTTTTCCTCATTTTGTGCCTTGGAGGGGAGGGGTAGAAGTGCAAGTGAAATTGCGCTCATAGGTCTTCCTATAAAGATACACTAGTCCTATCAGATCAGGGCCCCACCCTTATGGCCTCATTTTACCTGAATTACCTTCTTAGAGGTCTCTTCTCCAAATATACTAATAGTTACCTTATGATTAGGGCTTCAACATATGAATTTGGGAGAACACATTCAGTGATTAACAGTCTTTTGCTGGGGGGCATTCAATAATGGTCTTTATTGCTTTGTGACAGAGCTGTGTAAATATCTGGCTATTAACATTTTCCCTGGCTGCCCCTCTCCAGAAGGCTGGAGACTGATCTTTTTCATAGCAGCCTTTAAGGATAGAATAGTTACTGTACTAGCTAAATGGGGAGCTTGGGATCAGCAAGACACCTGGGAAGATTAAATAGCAATGTGGAAAAATGCTTTAAAAAGTTAAGTGGAAGAAGTAAGTTGCAAAATTATATTTATACTATACTTATAACTATATAAATATGATTATAGACAAGGCTGGGAAGGAACATAGTAAAAGGAAAATTAGTCATGTTAGTATCATGAAGTCATTTTTCAGTTTTCTTTTATGACCCAACCTCCTCTAGCTTTGAGGTCTGCTAGGATTACATATACGTTTAGGGTTTCACATCAAACATGTAGGGAGGTAGAGAGGGCACAGGGGGATAAATGGTAATGGAAGGAAACTTGACTTGAGGTGGTGAACATACAATACAATATACAAATGACGTATTATAGAATGGTACACCTGAAACCTATATGATTTTATTAACCAATGTCACCCCAATAAATTCAATAAAAATGAAAAACAAAAATCTGTAGGGAAATTCCTGATCATTCCTGGTTTTATGATCAGCCCCTCTTGATTGTCCTATCCCTTACTTTCACCCTTTTACCATCTGTAGAAACTTTATCATAATGCCATACAAGGAGGCCATATGAGATCCCCCCCCCCCCCCCCCCCCCCCCCGCTGTGCTTTAACTAATACTCTTCAGCTTTTCAGGTTCACCCAGTAAGACTCAGTCTGTCAGAGTGATAACTTGGAGCAAAGTAGACCGACTGAATTTGCACATACAGCTGGATCCAGTTATGGACCAGGCCTGCAGAGTAAGGCTATGATGTGACTTGATTTCAATATTTCAAGAATTAAATTACTCCTTATCAAGACAGAGTCCCAGATAGACAGATGCCTATTATCTGGATTAGAGCAAAAGTGACATCTTCGGCATACCCTAAGACAGAATCCTTGAGAAACTAATTATTTTGTGCCAGCCACTGTATCACTGGCACTGGGGGCATAGGTCAACAAGAACTAAAAGCCAAAATGATCTGAAGATTAGTCGTTTGAGTTACTGAACTAAGGATATTTCAGTTCGTTTTCTCTTGGGCCTAGATTAGGAGTTAGACGGCTCCAATGCTGGGACTAGAACATGGGACAGGAAGAAACCAGGTTGGATTCTATACCACTCATTGCTCATCCTGTTGCTGGGCCTATTGGTCCATAAGCCTTCACCTTGGCCTCTATATCTAACCTCATTTTCTCATCTTTTTTTTTTTCTTTTTTTTTTTTAAATCAGTTCCCCTTGCCTTTGAAGACTAACTCTTCCATGTGAGACACTATGGTCTACCACATCTTGTTATCCTTGGACAGTCCTCCTTCCACTAATATGGAGAACAGGTGACATGTTGGATTTCTTTTTCTTCTGTCAGATGGTGCAACTGGGAATGAGGAGGTATTGATCCCAAAGGGTTATTCCTGAAATAAATCAGAATTTCATGCATTCCAGAGAATTCCACAGAGATATTGCTAAGGAAGTCAAAATTTAGAAAGCTCCACTGAACAGGAAGAGAAGACTCGGAAGGCCATCGGGATGCTCTAAGCAAGAGAAAATGAGGAGAAACACGAGAAGCTTCAAACACAAGGCAGTTAAAGACAATAAGATACTTCTAGAAGTGAATGACCAAGAATCTGAAAAAGATGGTAGTCAGTGCTCTGAGCCTGCAACAACCAACAGAATTAAGGCCGAAAAGAGACAGTATGTATGTACTGAGTGTGGGAGAGCCTTTAGTCAGAGTGCAAACCTTACAGTGCATGGGCGAATTCACACAGGAGAGAAACCCTTTAAGTGTAAGGAATGTGGAAAAGCCTTCAGTCACAGCTCCAACCTTGTCGTCCATCGGCGAATCCACACTGGACTGAAGCCCTACACGTGCAGTGAATGCGGGAAATCTTTCAGTGGTAAGTCCCACCTCATTCGCCACCAGGGAATCCACAGCGGGGAAAAGACTTATGAATGTAAGGAGTGTGGGAAAGCTTTTAGTCAGAGTTCAGGTCTCATTTCACATCACAGAGTACACACTGGGGAGAAGCCCTACACGTGTATCCAGTGCGGGAAAGCCTTTAGCCGGAGCTCAAACCTTACCCAACATGAGAGAATGCACAAAGGGAAAAAAGTCTACAAATGTAAGGAGTGTGGGAAAACATGTGTGTCTGATACAAAGATCATGGACCATCAGAGAATTCACACAGGGGAGAAGTCTTATGAATGTGATGAGTGTGGAAAAGCTTTCATCTTAAAAAAGACCCTTCATGAACATCAGAGACTTCATCGAAGAGAGAAACCTTACAAGTGTAAGGAGTGTGGGAAAGCTTTTACTTCTAACCGAAACCTGATTGATCACCAGAGAGTTCACACGGGAGAGAAACCCTATAAATGTAATGAATGTGGGAAAACATTCAGGCAGACTTCTCAAGTTATTCTACATTTGAGAACCCACACTAAGGAGAAACCTTATAAATGCAGTGAGTGTGGGAAAGCCTATCGTTATAGCTCACAACTTATTCAACACCAGAGAAAACATACTGAGGAGACAGAGACCTCATAAGTAACATATATTGTTGGTAGGAGGACTAATTGCTACTTCTCAGAAAAGTTTTTCAGTATCATCAACCTTAACTCTATTTCTGAGAATCCATAAAAGGAAAGTAGTCAGAAATAGAAACGGATTAGCAGTAGAGAAATTCATACCAGCAAGGTATATAATTGAAGGGAGAAAACTAGTGGGTTTTTTTTAATGGTTACAGGGTTTAAATGAATGATACAGTCTATCCATAGAGTGGTTTTGCAGCCATTGTAAAGATTTGTGAAAGAATATTTAATGCCATGGGGGAAATGATTTGGATAAAGTGGAAGATAAAAGAAAAAAAACAATGAAATATGATCTAAATTATAAGCAAAACAAAACACATCTATGCATAGGGGAAAAGTGGAAATTAATGCCAAACTAAAATCTTAACAGTGATTATCTCTGGGTGATAGGCTTAGAAATGATTTCTATTTTCTTCTTTATACTTTACTGTATTTTTTAGATTTTCTACAGTGAGAATGTACTAGTTTTATATTTAGGGGAAAGTATGGTATTTTAAAAATGCGATTAGTACTTGCCCATTTTCACTAAATAGTGTTAGGCAAGGTGCATGGAACATAGACTCTAAAATCCACACACTGCCATGTGGTAGCAGTGCAACCATGAGCAAGCCACTTCCTTTCAGAGCCTTTTTCCTGTTCAGTAAAAGCATAAACACCAGTCCTTGGCCTTTTTTCAGCTTTACGACAAGCTGACTTTATAGTTGTTAATAAAATGTATATCCATTTACACAGTTAGGTTATTAGAACGCAGCAAACATTTACTATATCCTCCCCTCTCACAGTTGTAGATGGATCAACAGATAACAGATCTGCCAAGGCTCCATCTGCTCAACATGTCTACAAAACCAGCAAGACATGTCCTTACGAAACTGAAACAATTGCAGGTCCAAAAGCTTTCAAGAGATAGCGTAATCATCCGAGCAGGGGAAGATGCATTCACATGTTATGTAGAGTTTAGTAGCTAACAGTGTAGACTTTGGCATTGGAGACACGTGTTCTGTTGCCAAATTGACACACTAGCTTGGCTTCAGATGTATCTGTAAGAAGGGACTGACTGCCTGCCTCACAGGGTTGTCGTATTCAATGAGAGAATAATGCATGTAAGTGTGACCAGCTCGGCATGTGGTAAATGATGATTGCTTAAGTATAGGACGTTGGAGCAGTGTTTCAGGTGTAAAACACTTAGCAAGAGAGTTCCAGAAGAGTTTTCCCCAGGGTGGCATTTAGGATATTTTCAGGTGTAAAGAGCCTTTGACTGGAATTGAATCTGGGATCTTTTGATCTGCAGGCTGACGCTCTATCCACTGAGCCAAACCGGCTAGGGGTGGCTTTTCATAAGATCGTGTCTTACAGATAATTTTATTATAGAATAGTCCCTCCTTGCATAATTACTCAAAGCAAAGTTTGGAGGGTCTGGAACAGATTGCTGCATTCAGGGGATGGGACAGAATCCTTGGGAATATGAAGAGGCATTATTTTTAGCCACAGGCATCTTGGTTGTGTAGAATTGTTCTTGTGTGGAATAGAAATATATATGTTTCTTTTTTTTTAGAGAGAGGAAGGGAGAGGGATAGAGAGATAGAAACATCAATGAGAGAGAAATACTGATTGGCTGCTTCCTGCACTCCCCTCTGACTGGGGATTAAGCCCAGAACCCAAGCATGTGTCCTGACCTGGAATCGAACTTGCAACCTCCTTGTTCATGGGTCAGTGCTCAACCACTGTACCACACTGGCCAGGCACATATGCTTCTTTTTGTTTGTGAGAAAAAGTGTGAAAGTCTCTTCTTTCAGGTCCTGTATCTACGTCCTGATTAAAGGGAAATATGAAAGATTCTTGCAAAGAGAGGGGAGTGTCTCCCTAGGCTTAGAGATACTTTTCACTGATGGTGTGTACTGTGTCAGGTCTCACTTGGAACTGAGAAGAAAACTGAAACCAAAAGGAGCATTAAATAGCTGAGTAATTCTGTTGAATCTAAATCCCAGAAGACTAAATTTTAACTCTGTGGCCTCCGCCACAGACTTCATTGTTTTTTAATTGAATATAGATAAAATAGTATCCTCATATTATTAGATTATTTTAGAAACTAGACTTTTTAATTACCTCTGAAGTTATAAAACTGGAGTCATAAAACTTTTTGCAGGAAGTAGTTATAATTTTGCCAATAAATATCTGTTATTTATTTGTTATAAATATCACCGATTTTTCTTTTTCTTTTCACTTAATTTCTTTGTTCAGAATAGGAAAAAACAGTTCACTTTACTTTTATTTAAGCGGATATCTTTGGAATGAAGAAGTGATTCTGGCTTGTTTCTGATTAAAATATGAGCTTGTTTTCATACTGGTAATATGTAAATGAGAGTTCAGGAGCCATTAGATAGTGTCCTCTGTTCGTTTCTCTAAAAACCTGTCCCACCTCCTCTCTGGCCTCATCTGAGTTTCAAACCTGTACTATATTACATGGACCTTCCATGGCTGTATGAAACCTGCATGTTCCCAAAGTCCATCCTGGCGTCAGAAGGTAGGTTTGTGAGGGGCCAAAAAGGAGATGGCAGGCTCCTTTCTGACACGAAGATACAGGGTCTGGCTCGTTCTCACTCCTCCCAGTGACCATTTCTTTTCTTTTCTTTTTAATATAGTTTATTGAATTTTTACAGAGAAGAAGAGAGAGGGATAGTTAGAAACATGGATGAGAGAGAAACATCGATCAGCTGCCTCCTGCACACCCCCCACTGGGGATGTGCCCACAACCAAGGTACATGCCCTTGACCGGAATCAAACCTGGGACCTTCCAGTCCACAGGCTGATGCTCTATCCACTGAGCCAAACCGGTTTCGGCTCCCAGTGACCATTTCAAGTCTAAGTGGCACATTTTTTGTGGATTGCAGACATGCAAAAGCTGTATGCAGTCTTTGAAACTAAGGCCAGTGGACCCCAAATCTGGGATTCACGGGAGGTAATTTCACACATTCAAACACATTTCCCAGGCCCACCAAATCAGCTCAACTGGAGCAGGGCCTAGGGATCTGTATAAAACAAAACTCTCAGTGGGGATTGAAGAAAATATTGTAATAATTATTCATTTTTCCTCAGAAGAGCCCGTGAATCACAAAATTATTGAGACATACACCAAAGTTTGTAAAATCATGACAAATTTGCAACCAGTTTACAGAGTGTGAAAGAAAATGCTGTCATATTTGCAGTGTTGGCTTAACCACAGAATTTAGCAGAGATTCCTGGTGGTTTCTTTTAAAAATACATTTTTATTTATTTCAGAGAGAGGGCGAGGGGGTATGAGCTATATAAAAATTTATTATTATTATTATTATTATTATTATTATTATTATTTTAAAGAAATGCATATGTTCAAGAATAGAGAGGAAAAGGTGCCCAGGAGGTCAATATGAGAAATTACTCCCAAACAGCCTCAATGTACATGCAAACTAAAACAGGTCCAGCTCCTTCTGGAGGCCACAGGCGTCCTAGGGTTGGGGGGCCGCGTGCTCCTCCCGCATCCTTCCCTTAGGAAACGCAGCAGCCCTACCACCCATTCCCTGGGAGGAACCAAGACCCCAGGGCCTCCCAGCCTAGCCACTCCAGCCTCCAGCGGAGGAGCCATAGAGACGTGGCTTCCTAGACCTAGACAGCTGGGGGTGGGCGTGGCGAGCAGCCGGAAGTCGAGGCTCCGGGGGACATCCGCATCCTTCCGGGTCTCCGCTGCCGGCTCGTCTAGTTCTGCAGTCACTTCCCGGCGCCCCGGCGGCCGGAGCCGGAGCCGCGGGAGCCGGGTGAGCGGGGCGCCGGGGCGGGTGGGCGTGCGCCGAGGGCGCCCGGGGGCGCTGTCCTCCCCGCGCGGGCCGCCGGCCGGGCGTCCCTCCTCGGCCCGGAGAGGAGGTGGGCGCTGCGGCCTGGGCTCGGGCAGCTGCCGCTGGGAGGCTTTGCGGACAGCACCGGGGGCCTGTGTGTGGCCCCGCGCCCGAGCCCCATGGCTCCGGGGCCCCTGGGGACGCAGCCGGGCAGCCTCCCCAGTCCTCTCCGAGGCGGACGCCCAGACGCACCTGCAGAGGCTCCCGGACTAATGGGACTTTTTTCTCTTCCTGGAGGGATGGATGGACCAAGTCCCACCCTTTAATTTTGTAATATAATGGGATTTAAAAAGCAAACTTAGACTACTTGTACCATTACTTTAGAAAATATACAGGATGTCCCCCCCTCCCCCCAAAAAAGTATACACACTTTGAGTGATTGTAAAGTCAGTGTTTATTAACATATGTTCATTTTCAAAAGTTGAAAGATTCTACAGAAATGAATACCTTTTTTTTTTTTTTTCTTTTTTTTTTCCCCCCCAAAGCCTGTTTTCAAACATGACCATTTTGGTCCAGGCACTGCTGATTTAAAAAAAAAATATATATATATATCTTTTATTTGTTTGTTTACTTATTTTTACAAAAACAATTCTTTCTGTGCCTGTTTGTCCTCCTATTAATTATACTTACACATTATATTGAAACTGTATTTATATTTTTGCCTCCATTGCTCATTTATAAGCATGCTAAATAAACTTAATGAAGGTGCTGTCCTCTATCACTGATACAGATATAACATAAGTATCAGTGATATAGGAAAAGGTATTTACTTATTTTATTTTTAAAATATATCTTATTGATTTTTTTACAGAGAGGAAAAAATTTTTTTTTACGGAGAGAAACATTGATCAGCTGCCTCCTGCACACCTCCTACTGGGGATGTGCCCGAAACCAAGGTACATGCTCTTGACAGGAATCAAACCTGGGTCCCTTCAGTCTGCAGGTCAATGCTCTTATCTACTGAGCCAAACTGGCTAGGGCTAAAAAGGTAATTAAAACTATACCTTTTTTGGCCCAACAGTTGTTATTTTTTCAAGGAATTTTTCCTGGAAAGATAAAAAGATTTGTAACCAAAAACTTATTATCAAGGATAGTTATTGTGGCCTAATTTATAATAGGGGGAAATGATAAACAATATAAATGTAAAATAACAGGGGACTCTTAAGTATGAATGAACTCATGTGCTCTTAATAATGATGACTACTTGATATTATGTTCACAACAATACGTGTGGGAAGTCAGTTCCAGAGCAGTCCAGTTGGATCCAGTCTTGTGCTCCAAATTGGAGAGAACACTGCCCTGAACACAGCAGGGATTATTCCTGGTTTCTTGTGTTTCCTGGTTTTACAAGTTTTCTGTTTTGTAATAAGAAAATTGTATCAGGATTAAGACCATGGTTACTTGTTGACTCCACAGAACATAGGAAAGAATGCAAGTTACAGAAGGTTAACTAACATTTGAATCTATATACCAGGCACTGACCAAAAACTTAAAGTGTACTTAGACATCAAATGCTTAAAAAAAACGTATAAAATAGAATCTGTTATTATCCCTACTTTTCAGGTTAAAAGACAGACTCAGAAGTGAGGTAACTTGTGTAAAATCACACAGGGCACCCTGGCCGGTTTGGCTCAGTGGATAGAGCGTTGGCCTGCAGACTGAAGGGTTCCGGGTTCGATTCCGGACAAGGGCACATGCCTGAGTTGCAGGCTTAATCTTCGTGTGGGGCATGCGGGAGGCAGCTGATCAGAGATTCTCATCATTGACATTTCTGTCTCTCTCCCCCTCTCCCTTCCTCTCTGAAATCAATAAAAATATATTAGCCGGGATCGGTTTGGCTCAATGGATAGAGCATCGGCTTGGGGACTGAGGGGACCCGGGTTCGATTCCGGTCAAGGGCATGTACCTTGGTTGCGGGCATGTCCCCAGTAGGGGGTGTGCAAGAGGCAGCTGATCGATGACTCTCTCATCGATGTTTCTAACTCTCTATCCCTTCCTCTCTGTACAAAATCAATAAAATATATTTTAAAAAATAAATAAATAAATAAATAAAAATATATTTAAAAAACAAACAAACAAAAAAAAACACAGGGCCAGCCAAGATGCCCATTGTTGGAGTCTTGGATAAAGGAAGGAGTCGCTGTGAGTAACAACCAAAGGAATTTCATGTCTGTGGTTTCAGCAATGGTCTGGCTGCCTGTCCCCAGAGCCTTGAGCAGGGGTTTTGTCCAGGGAGGAACTGCTGCGAGCCTACGAACTTGCATTTAGGGATTTTTCCTCTGCATCACTGGGAGCTGCCGGGGGGCTGGAAAACTTGGTGGTTTCACTGCATTAACTTTAACAATGATTTTTTTGAAGTTTTGCAGGTGATGTTCTCCAAGCTCTAAAGGAAGAAGTCCAGCCAGGATTGAGGGGGCCCAGAGAAGAGGCTTTCATAACTAAAGACAATGACAAGAGAAGCTTGGGCCCACAATGCTCTGAGACAGGAGGGTCTTGTTAAAGGGAAGGACGATACCTGGAAATGGGGAACCAGCTTCCAAGGGAGCAGCTCCTCTGTTTGGGAGACCTCCCAAATGCACTTTAGACAGTTGCGGTACCATGAGACGGCTGGGCCCCAGGAGGCGCTGAGCCGGCTCCGGGAGCTCTGTCGCCGCTGGCTGAGGCCAGAAGCGCGCACCAAGGCCCAGATCCTGGAGCTGCTGGTGCTGGAGCAGTTCCTGAGCATCCTGCCTGGGGAGATTCGGACCTGGGTGCAGATCCATCGCCCTGGAAGTGGTGAGGAGGCCGTGGCCCTGGTGGAAGAGGTGCAGAAAGACCTCGATGGACCAGTGCTAAAAGTGAGAAAGGGCGAGGGGGAGGAGTTTGGGATGGAAGGAAGGAGAAAATTGAGGCAGGACTGGAGCAAGTGTGTGGTTTTTCATTAACTATAGCATTTTAAGCCCTAACTTGATTGGCTCAGTGGCTAAAGCTTCGGCCTGTGGACTGAAAGGTCCCAGGTTCGATTCCGGTCAAGGGCATGTACCTTGGTTGCAGGCACATCCCCTGTGGGAGGTGTGCAAGAGGCAGCTGA